TTAATTCTTGATTTTCTCCGGAGTCAATCTAAACAGGATGAACTCAAATCCTAAATATTCTCTGGAGTCAATATAAACATGAATGAACTCAAATCCTAAATATTCTCTGGATTCAATATAGACAGGATGAACTCAAATCCTAAATATTCACTGGAGTTAATATAAACAGGATGAACTCAAATCCTAAATATTCTCTGGAGTCAATATAAACAGGATGAACTCAAATCCTAAATATTCTCCGGAGTCAATATAGACAGGATGAACTCAAATCCTAAATATTCTCTGGAGTCACTATAAACAGGATGAACTCAAATCCTAAATATTCTCTGGAGTCAATATAGACAGGGTGAACTCAACTGGAGTCAATATAAACATGAATGTACTCAAATCCTAAATATTCTCTGGAGTCAATATAAACATGAATGAACTCAAATCCTAAATATTCTCTGGATTCAAAATAGACAGGATGAACTCAACTGGAGTCAATATAAACATGAATGAAATAAACATGAATGAACTGAAATCCTAAATATTCTCTGGAGTCAATATAGACAGGATGAACTCAAATCCTAAATATTCTCTGGAGTCAATATAAACAAAATGAACTCAAATCCATGATATTCTCCGGAGTCAATATAAACAGGATGAACTCAAATCCATGATATTCTCTGGAGTCAATATAGACAGGATGAACTTAAATCCTAAATATTCTCCGGAGTCAATATAAACAAAATGAACTCAAATCCTAAATATTCTCTGGAGTCAATATGGACAGGATGAACTCAAATCCTAAATATTCTCTGGAGTCAATATAGACAGGATGAACTCAAATCCTAAATATTCTCTTGAGTCAATATAAACAGGATGAACTCAAATCCTAAATATTCTCTTGAGTCAATATAAACAAAATGAACTCAAATCCTAAATATTCTCTGGAGTCAATATGGACAGGATGATCGAACTGAACTGAATGTTTATATATTTTGAAATATAGAAATATGCCTTGTATGGGTTTATATCCTTCGGAAGTATAAAACAATTGATTAAATGTAACCTGAGCAAGATTTAAAACATAATTTTATCCCCTTGGGGGATATTTATCTAAAAAAGTCCAGGAAGAAACTAAAGTTTTGTCGATTTAACAATATATTAAAGGGAGAAATCCCGTTTTTCATTCAAAGAATAAGTACGAGAATGAAAAATGTTTAAGGGAAACTTTTTTGCTTTTAAGAAATTAGGCGCAATTAGGAAAATCTAAATAAAGAAGATAAATTTAAGTGATATCGGGTTAGAATTACTGAGCATTCCCTTAGACTGTATAATTTTGACATATCTATGTATTGGGTTGGAAAGGTTCATCAAATTTTTATAAAATAAATAAAATTTTAATATTTATGGCAATTTCCTGCCTCTCTTGATGTTTGAATTTCCTAATACTTCAAATCCAGGCTTAAAGCCCCAGGAAACTGAATATTTTCGATAAATATTCGTAAATTCGTCTCAAGATCAAGCTTGAAATTAAAATCTAAATTTTCATGCGCCCTGAAGAGTAATTCGATTGGATATTTTAAATTCTAAAGTTGAAGAAATAAAATTTTTATTTTGTTTTTAGGATCGTAAAGTTTATACGACAGCAAATATCAAAATCAACTTTGTAAATTGATTTCAGGGTTTCCTAGAACTCATTTCAAATAAATTGGCGAACCCTGTTTGGAATCTTTTATTTTGTAATTTTTTTTTGTTTCAATTTTACACCTCACAATCATTAAAAGAAAATAATCTTATGTTGATTCAGATGTCCTATCTTTTATCCAATTAAACGTATTTTCAATTATTTTCTTTTATATTTCCGAGAATTCATTTAAAACAAATTGGCGAACCCCGTATTGAATCCATTATTAATAAAATATATATTTTGACATCACTTTCGAACCCATTTTTACCAAATCAAAGTTTATCTTAAGGATTTGGTCTTATATACAAATTATATTTCTAGTGTCAGTGGGTAATCTGGAATAGCGTTTTCTGATACAGCCAGGGAGTAAGGAATAGAAGGGAGATATAACTGACGCGGTTCGCCCTACCATATGATTATACATGCTTTGCAGACAGTACTTCATTTGAATAATAAATATTTGTCTGATGTACAATTACCGCGCATACAATAACCTATTCTGAATATTTCTTATACAAATGGAGTACCCGTCTGCAAAGCATGTATAATCATATGGTAGGGCGAACCGCGTCAGTTATATCTCCCATCTATTCCTTACTCCCTGGATGCAGCCCGGACATATTAAGCGCTTTTTAGTTTTATATCACCTAAATATATTTTCATTGTTAAAATTTTCTTTTCAGTGATCAAAACATTGAGAATTTTTGAGAGATAAAAAATCCAAATAATCATCAAGTACAATTCAGTCCAACGAGTCCAGGTTACGTCACTAGTGACATTTTAATTTGCAGTGTCAGACAAAGATTCAATATTGCTTAAAAAAAAATAGCGTTTAAGCTTGTAGAGAAATAAGTGGAGTTTTATATGTTTTTTTAATTTTTATAAACTGTTTCTTTTAATGTCCTCTACACAACACTAAAAGGAGGTTGAAACTGTGTCACATTTGACACCAATGATGACGTCATTCATAATTTCACTAAACTCGTATTTCCACCTATTGTATATTTGCTCTATCATTTTGGAAATGGAGAGAATATTTCGTTTATTTAAAAAGAAATGATGTCGGAAGACACATAAATTTCAACTAGAAGGGGATCATTCATTTGGCGTACAGTCCCGTTTTGCCTCGTATAGTCTGTATTTGTACTGTATTGCTTGCCTTGGTTAGTTGAAATTCGGCCCTGTACATGAGATGAACTGGAATGTACCGTGAAGAGTCTGATTCTTCAATTTTATAGGGGTTTCACTAAATGTGTAAAAAAAATGTTCTCATTAAATCTGTTTTCCGAATGAATTACTGACTCATATTTAAAAATAACTTGTTAAAATCCATTCCTTCAAAAAGTTATTTATTTAAAGAAAGCATTGTGTTGTAATATGTGTAATATGTATTGTGAATTTTACGTCAGAGGCCTTTCAACACCTTTAAAATAAATATATAATTTAGTGTATCCACTACCCTGTACCCACTTTTCAACACCTTTAAAATAAATATATAATATAGTGTATTAACTACCCAGTACACACCTTTCAACACATTTAAAATAAATATATAATATAGTGTATCCACAACCCTGTACCCACCTTTCAACACCTGTAAAATAAATATATAATATAGTTTATCCACTACCCTGTACCCACCTTTCAGCACCTCCTGTAAAATAAATATATAATATATAGTGTATAGTGTATCAAAACTGTTTTAAGTAAAAACCCCCCNCTCCCCCCCTGTCTCCATATGGTATCTTGATGACAAGTTTGGTCTAAGTAATTATCTATTGATTCTGCTCCAGGTTATTATATGATACTAGAGTACATCAGGGTGTATTAGGGTGTATCTGGAGTAAGGGGGGAAACCTAGGAGTATTATAAGAATAAGCACGAAGAGATAATGACAAAATAACTGTCTTAAGGCTAAACAATGATCTATCAATGCTATTTCAACATTTGATTCTATCACTTTTCCCTTTTGAATGTCTCTGAGAAATTCTCTATACCCTTCCTTTATCTATACACTGAGAAATTATTAAACCGTGAAAACGATGAGTATTAATAGTATTATAGTTTTATACGGGATGTGATCATGTGACACCAATACCGGACATATAGGGGACACTTCTATTGAAGGTGGTACATACCCTTAAAAGGAAGGGATGAATAAATCAGCAAAATAAAGGGGAAAGACGGGTTTAAGGATATACTAAAGAAGGCAGGATATTTGAAACAGAAAGAGGAAAGGTGAAAATACTTTTCAAAGCATGAAGATATATGGATATCTAGATACATCAAGTAGTCATCTTTGTTTGTTTGTTTGTGTGTGTGTTTGTTTGAATGATCAATTATAACTCATGAACCTTGGACTGATTGGACTAAAATTTTGATTGGGGAACTGACAGAACTACTGAAATGTTCTTAGACTGACTACAAATTTTAAGTTGAGTGGGTTGAATTTTATAAGAAAAACTCCAGACATAGCTGGGTTCCCAAACTATGGCACTTTATAGAAAGGGATGTTTAAAACAGAAAGCTAACGAGGAAAGGAGGTTGTAAGAAAATACAACATAATAAAGTAGTAGTCAACGTATGAAGATAAAGGGAAAAGAGTGTTAGGATATATAGAAAAGTATGTTTAAAACAGAGAGATAAAAGATTAAAGAATAAAGTAGTAGATAACCTATGAAGATAAAGGGATAAGAGTGTTAGGATATATAGAATAGTATGCTTAAAACAGAAAGGAAGAGGAGGAAAGGAGGTATAAGGAAACACTAAATAAAAATAGGATGTTTAAAACAAGGAAGGTAAAGTGAAAAAAGATTGTTTTGGAAATACTATTTAAAACATAGAAAAAAATAAGGAAAGATGGTGTAAAGGACGGAAAAAACATAATGATAAAGGGTAAAGGGATTACAATGAATTATTATAAATAGAGAATAACACAAGACAAGAGAAGGTTGGGGCCAAAATATATATCGAAGGATGTTGTTTAATTCTAGGAGAAGGTTAGAGTCAGGAAGAGAAGGGGGGGGGAGAAGGTTAAGGCAAGGAAAAGACTGGAGAGGGAGGGGAAAGGGTCAGGTGGAGGAAAGGGGATGTTTAATGAGTTCTCAGAATATTTAAAAAAGGAAGTCCTAAAAACGACATAAAGGGTACCCAGGGGGCCGAGGAGGGGGAAGGGGGTTGATCTTCTCTCCCCTTTTATTTCTCCACCTGTTTCTGTTAACTTGAAGTATTGGGTGTTGATAAAGACATGGTTCCCATGGACTCCCGGAGACATTTGTTGGTTTCATATTTCTCCATAATTATATTGTCACCCTTCGGCAGGTTTACTCCAGGTTTACTCCTCCCTGTGTTTCCCAACTTGGATCTAGAATTGTTCGAATGGTTTCTCTCTCTCTCTCGGAACCCCGGGCCGGGACGGGACGGGAGAACCCGCGGGCGGAGCGAAACTTCCGAACTTACATTTCAACTCCAAGTCTCCAGTCCGAGTTTGTTGTTGGTATTAGCATGGGGCCTGGATATTAGTGCTCTAAACAAAACGAAGATCGAAAACTTATCAAAATGAAAGTGATAATTTTATTCTCGCTGATGACGACTGGACTAGGATTACAAATGTTTAGCGTGACTCCGACATATCGTGAGGTTAACCCCGGAGGAACAGTCCTCATGAACTGCGTTGTTGAGTCCATGAAGGGTGAGTGTAGGTGGGAGAAGGACGGAGTACCAATTGGATTATATCCTGGTAAATATGAGATGGTTGGAGAGAAGGATGGAGATTGTACACTCCGTATCCTGGCAGCCTCCATGGAGTTCGACAACGGGGTCTGGCAGTGCCAGGTCACTGCATCAGACTTTAAACAGAAGGATACTCTTATATCAGACGGAGCTCAACTTGTTGTCAGAGGTAAATATACGCAACTAACTTTTTCATTTTCTTGCTAAAATTTGATCATTTTCAAATGCAACTTCAATTGTGATTGCCTGGTTTACAGTTTTAACATCCAACAGTGCAGGGTGCATATGTTTCATGTTTGCAAAATTAATAAGAGTTGTGATGGGGGGGTAACCGTACAAACATTTTGAACTTGAAGATTAATAGGATTTTCTGTTGACACCGTTCTTCGTCTTGAATTAATTCTTTGATGTAAAAACCTGACGGTTAATTTACTTTGAACTCGGTTGGATCGTATGGGACGGATAATATTCTGGCCGGCAGAAAATAAACTCAAACATTTGAGAAGTTAATTTATTAGGTGTTGACTTTGAGTAATTAGGTCTTAAAATTTGTTATTTACAATAATCACTGTTTAGTTTCTATCTAAAATTGGTTTACAAATAATTTCTTGATGCTTTTTACTTTTTAACCTGAATAAATCGAAAAAAAGTTTCTTATTGAGTGTTTTGAATTGAACAGTATCACTAAAAAATAAAGTTTTCATTTGTAAGTACATATACACCTTAGAGACTCATTTGGCATTATTGGGTTAAAAATCCTAATTTTGTAATCAATACTCTTGTTCAATAACCCCTTGCTGTTATATTTGATACTAGCTGAAGGGCCCGGCGTTGCCCGTGAAAACAAATTTGATTTTTTTTAAATTAGTGTCCACAAAACAATTCAGCCCAATCGGTCCAGCCGTTTGGCCGTCTATAGGCAACATATATATATACGAATGTCTTATTTTATTATATAGATTTCCAAATATGACTTTTGTTGGGTTAAATAGTCTAAGTTTGAAATATTACCATCAGGCTTTAAAGAAACGGGGATTAGAAAAATAGAGTTTGATGAGCGTGTTCCTTTAAGTAATTGCACACGAAGGACCAAATATAATTCTTTTGTAATTTAATCCTAAACTAAATAAACCCTTGGATCAAGGTAGAGCGGGATGATGTTTACACAAAGAGAGTTCTTGTAATTAGAACTTTTTGTCTCCAGGTCCTGAGTTTAATCAAGGTGTCAACCAGGGTGTACATTTACTCCAACATCTGGTGTTCATCGACTCCATCCTTATCATTAAACTTACTCTTAGAGAGAATCAGAGATAAAAACGTCTAAATAGTTTAATCATGAAAGGGACTGTCAACTTAATTTTATGAGATCCTTTAAAAAAAGATTTTTATAAACGAATCATAAAAGTATCCTTTAAAAATCTTTGTTTAATGAAAATTTGAAATTTTATAAAAGTTTTTATGACTATTATCACATATTATTTGTCTAGCTTTTTGTTAATCGATGGTTTTAACATTTAACATTAACTTGAATTTTTAATGTTTTCGAAGTCAAATTTTGAGGAAAAGGAATTACAATTTAATTTGAAAATAGTTTTTCGGAGAAGGTTTTGTATTAGACATGGAAGAGAATAAATAAGTTTCAAAGTATGGATTGAAAAAGTAAAATTTTTAGCGGACACATATTTTACAGTTACAATATTTCATCGATACATTACACATTTTCAATTACATTGAACGCATCTTTCAACCATAAATTTGTCAATTTTTCAATAAATTTCACATTCTTTTGTGGTGGTGTAATACAAGGCATATTAAAGAACCAAGGGGAATATAAATAGAGGGCTACAGATAGATTTGAGTTGGGGGGTAGGGGAGGGGGGTAACAAAACAGGATATATATGAACAACAAAAATGTTGGAGAGGGGGGGGGGGGCTAAAAATTTGAGAAATTAAATCATCCTTAGAATAACAAGAATATGAGTTAATCTATAAAACCTCTAATATGGTTTCAAGCTCTGCAAACCTAAAGTGGCTCCGTGTTCAAAGTTGAACCCGGTATAGAAGGTTAAAAGCAAACCCATCTTAATCCTCTAATGCTTATACAGCTATTCACTCAGCCAAACTTAAACCATGCCTACCTTACTTACTCCTATTCTCAAACCTAACTTACTCCTATTCTCGAACCTAACTTACTCCTATTCTCGAACCTAACTTACTCCTATTCTCGAACCTAACTTACTCCTATTCTCGAAC